GTTAGCACTGTTGAGCAATATGTCACTCATCGGTCTTTGGTTTTTTCCATTTTTCGAAACTTCCGAAATCTAGCACGCCAGGTGATTTGTATCGAAAAATATAGCGCCGAAGCTATTTCTGGCAAAATTCTCAATAATTCTCTTCTTACAAGTAGAGATAGATGGTAGTTAGCAATCGAATCCTTTTCTGAATGTACCTGAACCCCAGAATTGATGCTCACTCCGCGACTTGAACCTCGTACCATTCGCTCCAAATACCATCGCGTTATCCACTTAGCCAATGAAAGACCAGTCATTCGTACTGCTAAACATCAATGAGAGAACTCAAACATACAGTACAAATGAATTCTTTTCTTGCTGGAGCATAAGTTCGACTCTTCCTAACGAATATTTAGTAAACAACTTAATAAATTGATCACAAGATACATTCTTTGAAAGTATGTACACATGATGCATACTGTTTTCACGTTAAAGATGGGAGAACCCATTCAGTAGGATTTAAGTGTAATGGTGAAGACCTAAGTTTAGGGCTTCCAGCTAGTTACCTCAGTCATCTAACGTAGTTCATCAGTTATTGTAATCAGTGTTTCAAAACATTTATGACAGCGAAAACCAGTTTCTAAGCAGATTTTAAATCGGTAATATACATAATATCAGCTTGGTATTCTCTTGACATTTTGAAGAGTCGTTCGCCAATTCACACCTGAACTTGTACATGACCTTTTGATGAACGAGAAGTACTTGACTATCCTAACTTCAATTTGATTAGCTCAATCTAGATTAGATAGTGTGAGACGATGGTTGATTGCTATTTATATTATCTGAAACATACTCATTTTATAAACTAAAACGTCAACGTGAATGGCAATTCGATATAGTGTCTAAGACGGTTGAGTCACGGTTGAACTTTCGCGAGTAATATGATTTAAATCTTAGTGGGACTTAAATTCTCTTTATTTTCATTATCATCCCTATACATAAAAACTTACCTACAAGATTATCTTAATTAGTCTTATTTATATCCATTATCCCCAAGATCCTTCTCAGAAATACAACTTATAATTTATTTGTAAACATAACTTCTTTGGTGTAGTAGAAATGAATGGAGACTGAACCTCATTCATAACTGATTAGTAAAATTTTAAGTACTGGTTTGCTGAAGTGTCTTCCTACGGATAACTAGTTTTTGATTTTACCACCATTTAAATATCCTAGAATTGATTTGAAAATACCACTTGAGTTGACATTCTATTTTAGATCGATCCAACTCAAAGTAAAAACGAATTCCAGCACATTACTCGTTTGTTACTAAATGATCAGGGTAGTGTTAATCTATAGGTCATAATATTTGTTAACCGTTAGTTTGGTTTTCCATAGCGTCATAACTAAGGTTGATTTTTACCAATATATCTAAGACTGGAAGTCTCAAGTTTATTCTCAAAGTGGGAATCGATGCGTTTTGTACAAATGGCCGTAGATATTTTATTTCTTCTTGACTGATGGAGGATGGTGAAAATAATATCGGATTAGTAAGGTGGAGTAGTTTAGTGTAGTCTAAAGAATGTGAAGTCTCGTCACAGCTTACATTGGTATGTAATGATAATAGATCGCAGAAATATTTTCACATTCTGGGTTGTTTCTAAAAATCGAGATATTTGTCAGGTATTCCTATTTCAGTGAAAATTGAACCATTCAAAATTAGTAACTTATTTTGAAATTACTGTTGCTTTTCTATCTAGACAAACCAGACCTCATATCCAGTTGATCTCTGTTTAACTCTCCTAATACTGGTTTATGCTCCATAGTTAGAATTAACGATCACAGATATAAAGGGGTTTTTAGAAAATTAACTATATAAATGAATTATGGTTGAAACTAGTCCCATTTGTTTTCATCCGTAGACTTCAAACAATTGGTTTATCTAATGATATTCTTATAATGGTTCGAGTGCTAACTTCTAATCCATAAAGTTAGGCTTTCATTCAATTACTTTTTCATAAATGCATTAGTTAATGGGTTGGCATATATTATTAATTTATTTTGTTGTACTCGACAAATGAAAGGATTACTACGCTAGTCATCATTACGTATACTACAGTTTCTCTAAGTTAAATTCAATTGATCACAAATCTTACCACAGTAGCATCAGTCACTTTGTTACTGTAGTGTTGTTCACAGAAGAGCAGATTATTTAAGAAAAAAGTTAAAAACATATTTGAATAACGGTATTTGGGTTTATAGAATTAATCATCTCGTTTTCTCCCCGACTTTAATTATTTTTGTTGTGGATACTGGCTTGGATTGCATAACAATTCACCACTTAGTTTATCCTTTGGAATGTCAACGTTGCAGCATTCTACTAGCAATTTGAATATGTTGCCAACTGACGATGATTGACCACAATTTTTGAATACGTCAGTTATTCTTATACGTTGTTTTATGATTGAATTAAGGCGTGCAACAAACCTCAATTTTTAACAGAATGACTAGTTTTAAGTAGATACCCGTTCGTTACTTTGTTTTATTTTCAAGCGTAAACTGATATATTTGCCCTGATTAAATGAGCATGCTACTCATTTATTGGTATCAATGTACCATTGAACCAGATTCAGCTTTGCTAAGTGAAAAAAATTATGTAGAGGCTTAGTGACAAGAAAGTTTCAGTTCACGAGAGTATCCTCTGCAACCATTCAATGGAACCTCACTGACATCGGTTCACCTTCATTTAATTTTTCGAAAAACTCATTCATGTTGGATATTATCAATGATGGTGTGATTATTTCTCTCATGAACTATATTACCACATAATTTTCTACATATTCACTTACCTGATTTTCACATCAGTTGTTTGACATGTATTCCGAAATCATTTAAACACAAATATGTGACCTCTAAAGTGATGTTAGTTAATTTACATATAAATGATTCATATGTCTTAACGTTCATTAGTTTTTTGCAGTTGTTTGGTGAAGATATATCGACCTTGCACACACACCTTCTGAAGATTCCGTCCGATTATGTATTTTGACCAAATACTTTTATATTACCTTTATCTGAGAGAAATACATTGATCCAGCCATATGAAGTTTGCTAAATTACTGTAAATGATGTTTAAATAAACATTTATCATACAGAGAAAGGTCAAGTTCTAGGAAAATTTCAAAACAGGTGAATTGTAGCAATAAGGTTGATTCACTTTTTTTCAAGGTCATTGACATTTATCATGTGCAAATAGAGAAAATAGAAAATAAATTGGTGTATTCACCGGTAGAACACATGGATTGTGGCTAGCAATGAAAATGCATTTCGTCCTATTTGATATTTCCACTGTACGTATAACTTTAAACTCTGACGGAAACCCACTAAACTACCGAGTCCAGATGGCTACGGTCTTCACTAATGTTTTTATTATCTCGTTGTTGATATTCAGGATTGGAATTTTCTCAATCTTTGTTGTTATTTATAAACTTTTGGGTATATTTCTGATAAGCTTTATTTGTTTTCCGCCTTTTTTGTTGACATGATCGAACTTATTATTGATTTCGTCTGACTAATCATTCGGTGAATGAAAACTAACAGAACAACCTGTTTTTATTATTATCAGTAATACACTACTTTACCGTCTGAACAGAGCTATCCTTCAAGGAAACAGTTTTAGTGATATTCGTAGCTGAGTAAAATCAGGTGTAATCTGATCAGTTGGCTGTGTGAGTTATTTTGTTTCCTATCTAAAATTAGTGTATTATCTGCATAGTAAGAACCAGGTCTGTTGAACAATATGTGAGTACTCTGAATTTTTTATTAGATGTTTACGACTTTATCTGGGCTAACACGCTCTTGTGGTCATGTAAGGCTTTTAATTGATAGCTAGGTTACTTAAAATTCTTTCAGTAGGATGATAAGTTAATAATTCATTTACACCTTTTTTAAGGCTTCAATTTAGTTACTCTGTTCGTATGGTGTAACTGAGCTCACTTGTCATGAAACAGCTTACTGATAGTGTCAGATAATATTAAATGTAACTAATTTTAATTTATTATCTTCTGTAAAAATATACCGACTCTGAATTGATGAAAAATAATAAATAATTTGTACACAGCTTAACAGTTCTGTATTAAACAGTGGATGAAAGGAAGCATGCACCATGAATGTTATTCGTTCATAAAACATTAGAAAGTGAAAATATTTCAAGACAACCTCAACAATTAGCTGGAAACAAGATTGAAACCATTTTAAAATATTTTAAGTTTTTTAGATAACGTAAAGCTGCATAAAGCATATGATTTTCCATTATGATGAATAACAATTCAAGTGAAAAATTCTGTTCCAAAAGCATTTAGATGGTAGATATTTTGTTAGGAAAAGATATTTACTATAAACCCTCAAAAATTAGAGTCTGTAAACACATAATGAATCATAATTTACCATTTTACATCACATTTCTGGTTGATGAGGATAAAAATAGTGCCTAGTGAGCTTCAATGTTCACTGGATCTATCTAAACATGAGTTGCTTCAGCTAATAGCCTTGGAATGAATCCCTAAAATTTATATAACGGAAATGTACCCGTTGAAACCAGCAAAGTCAGATAAATATAAAACGATGACATCGGATGTTAGTAGCATTGTAGTCCAGTTAATTAAATCTGTCAAATATGGTCCACTGTATTCCGCTTCATGAGGAATGGGAAATACTAGAGACGTTAGATTGTGAGCTCAATCTCATATGAAATTATTTTTCTCAAATAATCACAAAACGATAATACACTGAATTATAATTTGTAGTAAATTTTCTTTAATTTTAAATCATTCCTTAATACTATCTTCAAATTAAAAGAAATACCTTTAAGTATGTGATCAAGTTTAGTTCCAAACAGGCAAGTTCAGTCTCAAGATAAAATAGGCAGTCGTTTTTGAAAAAAAAGTTTTATAATTCCAGATTTATGAATAATACAGAATATACAATGGAACGACATATTATTATTGTTATTATTATTATTATTATTATTATTATTATTATTATTAGTATTATGCAAATACGAATTGAGCACAGGTAAGGAAGTCATCATCTTTGTTTGTTATCTGGAAATGGTTTAATAAAGTTAAACACATAGCTAATAAATGAGATGAAGATATAACGAAGTTCATTTTTTTCTGTGTTTTTTTCCGTACAGATAGTTTGTTTTACAATTTTACAATTACTTATGTATATACCTATCAATGTTGTAGTATGTTAAAGTCGTTATTTATTCAACAGTTGTTTTAACAATGGTAAATAATTAAATCACTTTTCAACAATAAAAAAAGAAAAAAAAGCATTAATAAAACAGTTTAATCTCAAAAAATAGATTGGTATTCTGTATTTAGTGCCTTATTACTATTAACAACAAAACTAGTTGTAAAATATACTCATAAATCTAATAGTGAATGTATATTGATGATAATTTAATTTTATTCTAATTTTCAGTTTGATGCACTTTGAACAGGTAAACTATAGGAGTTATTTGTTTGTTCACTATTCATGTTATCATTCTCGACAGTAATTTTATTAACATTGTTTACTGAATAATTTAGATTTCCATAGTGTTTATAAATATTTCGCTCATCAGAAACTAATGGTATTATTCCTAGGGTTTCTGATGTATTTGTTGTTGTATTATTCAAACAATGAGTATTGTTTTTACTACTTGTACTACTACAAGGTTTTAATAAACATGATTTACTTTCTGGTAATGAAGCATAACCTCCAACAACATGTGCACATTCGGGACAGATTGCTAACCCTCTTAAGGAACTAGCCAAAATGGATGTGTTCATTAGATATTTATAATGAGCTTCATGAAAACCAACACAATTACAAGATATTTTATCTGAAATTGATGAATTGATACATGGCATTGGACTTGTATGTATACCAAGAAGATCATCATTGATACAACACAAAGGATTAATGATGTTTGGAGATTTAGTGTTCAGTGTTTGACTTTGTGTACTCTTTGAACGTTTACGATTTAAACGACAAAATTGTAGCTTTACTGAATTCCGAATCCGTTTATCATTTTCGTTACTATTATTATTATTGTAAATAATAATTTGATTGTTATTGGTGTTGGAAGTGTGACCAAGTTTACATTGATTTTCGTTATGTTGGCAGTTAGAAGTTGGAACGACTTGAGGATGAAATTGTTTATCTAAATTATCAGCTAATTTCCTACGTAGCTCATTTGTTCTTGTATCTGAATTCCATGAAGAATCTTTTGAATCTGAGCATAGGATTTTTAAGATGTTCGGACATTTATACTCACGTACATTTCTATAAAAACGTTGGGAAAGACGTTTAGTCGTACGACGAAACGTTGTAGAAACTAGAAAGTAGAGGAAAAAGTTTGATGCGCATCCCAGCAATTGAACCACATTAGTCCATTCTACTGTTAAATTTAATGTCATATATAGTATACGAGCATTTCTGTCATGGCGAACAAGCGAACCCATTTCGCTCATTACTTGGAGACAAGCAAAATGTACAATACCGAATGGTGCAGTGAACAGTAGAAATGCTATGATAACTGCAAGTAGTAATGGAGTGACACGATTTGTGGCTCTTTGTTGTAAACGCTGAGCTGATGATTTGCCTTGTGAGTTTGTACGCCAGCTACCAGTACCCACATGTTGTTGGTGCGTGTTATTCGAATCTCTTTGAAAATAATGAAGATAACGTTTTTGTAGTCTTGTTTGTGTACTAGAGTGTTCCTGAGTCACATTATTATTATTACATTTTTCAAATGTTTTATGGGAATCATATGTATATGATTTTCTGCATGCGTCACTTTGACGACACGCTCTAATCACCGAGACATTAGTTATAACTACACCAATAAATGGACCGATATTTGTCAAGATTATTTGACTAACAGTATATGCTATTCGTATACTTTCAGTCTTCCAGATCTCACGTTCGATAACAAATATTGTCACTGGATTATGTTTTTCGGTTTTGTTAAAATGTGTTCTGCTTGTATTTGTTGGATAACTCCTTCGGTGAGTTTGTTGTTCTGATTGTTGTATTGTTGAATTTAACATTCTTTTATGACTAACCTTTTCTTCACTATAGGTATATGTTAAAAATGATGGGATATGAAAAAGCAATGCCAGCAAATACAACAGAGTAATAATATGTAACATATGACGTGATGTAAGACATGCACGAGAGGCTAAAGGTCGACAAACTACCAGGTAGCGTACAATACTCATTAGTAATACCATCCAAACACTAACGGTTAGAAAATAAGTCACAAGCCCAGGGCCATAAATAGTGTAATAAAGCATAAAATTATGACTTGTATAACGTCGTTGAACATAGCCCAATGGTAAAGATGTTAAACAAACAAGAAAATCAGCCAATGCTAGACCAAGTAAATTTACACGTGCTGTACATTCACCTCCAAATGTCACTTGAGACGTTGGATAAGCATGTAAAACAAGAAAATTTAAACAGTTTCCAATTATTCCTATGCATCCTATAAGTAAGGATAGAACAGGTAGTATAGTAAACTGTATACGTGCCCATTCAAGTGAATCGGTCGTGTTAGCCATAGATTTAGAAGACTTAGTTGATTGGTTATTTGTTTTCATGAGTACTGTAGTATTTATTGACAATACAGGATTTGATCCATTCTCTATATTGTTAATAATGTTACTACTTGATTGAGATGAAAAACTCAACATGATCATCTGTACCAAAATCAGATTTAAAATATTTTTGAGTACCCTTGAACTTCTGTAAAACAAAACAAGAAGACAGGGGACTTGATTAAAATTTCAACTAATAAAATAATAATTTTGAGAATAAGGATGGATTATATTTTCATTCAAAGAGTATGAAGATAATAAATACATATTTATAATATTGAAACGGGTTTCTATTATTCGAAACACTTGGATGTATTCCCATCTAGTTGTATTAATTAAATTTATATATATTTACTCATTGGAACTAAAATTACAGATGTGGTAGAACGTGCCTTGTGGTGAGTTTAGATTTGTTTGGGCGATAATAACATTATTCATTCTGCACATCTGATGGGGATATTAGTATTTTCTCTACGTTTATACAAATGATGATGATGATGATGATAGAGTTTATTATAGTTTGACAACAAATAAAAAGATCCAATTATTTGTTTTTCACTAAGGATACTTTTAAGTGAAAGTCGTAAGATATGTGTTTCACACTTTGAACCACCTTACCACTGGCTAAACATTCATAAGTTCCAACCGTAAAATCTGGAAAAATAATTGTGTTGTCATTTTGAAATAGAATTTTTCAATGATTATTAGTTCAATAAAGACGGACTAAGTAATTTAAAATATTTTCAAATGTAAGAAAAAATACATAAGGTAATTTTCGAATACTTCTCGGATGAACATTACTTAGTGTACTGAACAAGAATAGAATAAAAATATCAAGCTAAAACATTAAATTGAATGTCCCTTTTTGAGTTTAATTTGTCATGTTTAAGCACAAAAATGAGATAGATTTTCGAACATAAATAACAGTGATTGTTAACTTTTTAAAAGAAAATCTTAATTAATTAATTCAAAGTAAACTGGGAAATAACATTTTAAAGAAAAATCGTAACTGAAGAATTCACCTGATGTTTCGGTGATTTAAGGCATTTAATCTTTTCATCTTAAAACACTACTCAACATCAATTTGTAGCATGTACAATATAAAATTTAGTTTAGTTTCTCTTTGATAAAAGGGATGAATAAGTGATGAACATTATGAATAATCTCTGAGTATCCATTAAACTTTACCATTCCAATTTTAAAAAAACATTATAAAGAATTTAGTGATTTAGTCATGTACTAGGAATGGTTTAAATCTAGTCTTATTCCTAGAGAGACAAAGCTAACCTTATATTTTGGACTCAACTTTGTAAACTATATCTATACGAATAAATAGATACCATTTTGTTAAAATAAACCTCCAACATTATCAATCATAATTTGTATAATAATTCATGTCAAATGTTTCATATTACTCTTATTTCTCATTGAAGGGTCTACATGTCCTATTGGCTAAGTTCGCAAATTTATTCTAAACTGCGTTTACATATTTATTTAAAAAACAAAACATACATATTTAAACGTTACAGATTAAATCCTCATGAATATATTTATTCCTACTTAGCTTATGCATCAAAAAGAAAAAAAAGAAAGATTGAGATGAAAAAAAGAAAGACCCCATTTTTGACGTTGTCATTTTTTGTAATTAGAAAAGTCAAGAAATTAAGTTTTCTTTTGTTGTTGTTGTTGATGGTAAATCTGTCCAGTGTTGTATTATTTAGAATATTCATTATAAGAAAAACTAAAGTGATCTAATCTATCATGTTCAAAAACAAAACAGTGAATAAGTTATTAAAAAACTAAAAGATTTCGAAATTATGGAATATTTTTCTAACTACTCTAGAGATCTATAAAAGTACAGTATCTAAAATAGAATAAATTTAAAATGGTAAGCAATTTTAGTTCATAATGCATTTGCATATACGTAACATATATGTCAGAGGAAATGTAATCAAAACTGATAGAAAATTTCAGCAGGTAACCAATGTGATGTTTGATAACTGATGGGTATGTGAAAGTGGTTCACTAGAAATATTCTTTTCATAGTTTCTAAATATTTGAAACCTAATCTATTCAATGATCAGATCAATCAACTTAACAGTTATAGTGTAAGCATTGTCATTAGAAATCTAACAGTACTAACAATTCGGCTGTGATGATGAAAATCTTAAAATAGTTATTATTAAGAATAAACGATAAAATAACTTATTAACATACTGAGATTCATTATTTTGAGAGGAAAAGTTTCAGAGAATATTTGAATCAACCTTTATTTAGTGGAAGCATTACATTTTTAAATCCTTATTTATAGTTAATGACCACAAGTTGTTAACTTTGTTGTACACGTCATTCATTAATCAATTCACATAACAGAATTGTTTTCTTCTCTAGACTATGTTTTGTTGATTTCTGTAATACTGATAGAAAATATGAATATGTACTATGATTTGCATATTTCATCACGTCAACATTTCCTATTATATTCACTATAATCACTGTTTATAAATACATATCTAAATTTTCCTAGATATTATGCTTTCAATTTGGAAAATATAGTGTTAGAAAAAGTTTTGTCGAGGCTAGCGTTACTATGATCTACGTAAGTTGTCATTAACATCTTTTTAGTGTGTTTTAACATATTGGCTGAACTGTGAGTTAGTGAGGAGGTATTTGAACGTTCTTGATAACATAACTTAATGCTATTTACCATGTAATACAACTTGTATTTGCATATTTTTAAAAAAATTCAAACAAATTTATTCATTTGAATAATCCGATGACAAGACGAATGTTATCAGAACTATGTGATATATTAGTGTAATACATTTCGGACAATCTGATCACCCATCGACTTGTAAACGTGCAGTTGGGTACTTCTGGTGTTTTATGGTCGATATTTGAGACTTAACGTTTTGATTCAGAAAACTAATGCTAAACAATAATTTTACCGTCCAAGAACCATAATGTTAGACTACTACAATTAGTTATATATATAATCGACTAAGAAATGTTATTGCAAATCCTCCTTTGACTTGTATCTACTTCGAAAATAAAATAAGGTATAATTACACTTACACTTCATACCTCATGTTTTATTCTTTGGTCAGTTAGCGGCATAAACAGTAGTTATATACTAATGAGTTAATCGTTTGTGTTGACCAGTAATTTTAGGTTGGTTTAAGTTTTTGACTCATTAGCTTTACAAGCAGACTTGCATATACGTGATCAGAAAGATCTTGATGTAGAATTGAGATGAGTGAGATTTGGTACAAAATGTATAACAACGTTTTAAAAAGTCAAAAAAGATGTTATCCCTTTAGAAACAATTAATTTAGTCGTCTTAAATGTGTCTACTTTCTCTTGATTGTAAAAACGTTTCGCCTTTTAAAAATGTGAAAATATATATCTATGGCATTGATAAGTTTAGTCGTTCGCTTTTATCTCTGTATTAATAGATGGTATATTATATGACAGATAACCGGATATTAGTGTTAAATATAATGAACATAGAACGCCTTCAATGCGACATAAAAAATAATTGAAAGTACTTTGCTAGGATATGTTATACAGCATAGATCCAGCAAAGATATTTAACAAAATACAATGCAGTCTACTATAATGAAATACATGCCAAATCAACTTAAGATGCTCATTAATCATTTATTTCGAAGAAGATTGGACATTTTCGTGTTAAATCATTTGCTGTAAAATCCACATGAAGTAACAATGTGGATTTTGAATTTACAAAATACATAAATACTACCGACAAACCATATTAAAATGAAAAAAACTTGACAAAATAGTCCCACATCTCTAACAAACATCTTGCCTCAAGGAAGGCTTGTATTCCTTGTTGTTCAGGACGAGGTATAGAAGTCAGAACATAGTGGAGATTCGGTCTAGACCTTTGCTCAGTCTCAATGATCAGTCAAATTCCATCATTTTGTGACGGTCACTACCCTTAAGTTAACCATATATCAAGAACAACCTTGAAAATGAGTGAAGTGGCTTTACTGATATGATTGGTACAAAACATTAATCAGGTGGATTGACATTAACTAGTGTATGATGAGCAATTCATAACACTAAGATTGATAGTGATCTCATAATTTGAAGAAGCAACTGAAACCCAAAAGATAATTTCTATATTATAGCTCAAACCATTTGGTTTAGAATATTTGTTTAAATAGGATAAAATTGATATGAATAAAGACATTATACATTCATACTTATGTCCTTTACTTCAAATAAAGTCCTATTTAGATAGAAATCCAAGAACCGAATATGGTAATATTCATAAGGTTAAAATATACTTTTATTCAAGTATTTAATTTCATAATCATCATGTCAAATTTACGCTGTTAATAATGGAGTGTTCATGAAAATGTATGTAAAAATGAGACAATTATATTTTTTTTGTCGTTTCAGACAGATAAACACTGATCACTCACTACACTAGATATAATACCTTTTTAAATGAATGATATTTACTGATTTTTAAGCTAGTTAGTATTACCTTTGAGATAAATGCATCAACTGACTACCTAAACTAGACAGTTTAAATAAAGACTAGTCAAGAACCTAGGCTTTGCTATTAAATATAAAATCATTTGCAAGAATCGGAAACGTTCACCAGACTCTATGGAAGTAGTCTTAAATTCAAAGACGAGGGATTTCAGGAAATCTAGATTTGTATTTGTTTTAGGATTCGTGATATAAATCTAAAGAATTCATCCCAACGAATACGTAGTTGCCTACTTGGAGAGTGAAATTATTTCCTTTACTTTGGAGCAACATAAATCGTAGAGAAAATGATCTGAACACCTCAGTGTATATAAAGACTTTCAAAGTTAAATTTTGGAAGGTATCATTTCCAGCCGAATTCATAAAACTAGTTTTGAGGACGTTATTAAATACTTGTCTAGTTATCTCAGGAATAACAAACCAAAAATTTCATTCAGTTGTGACCACGTAGAACTGAACTCTCTTTTTAATTCGATGGGAATTCTTTCGAATTTTCTGAGTCCATCTGTGTTTCTCATATTCGAAACCAGTAAACAGAAATGAATTTCCCAGAATTAGATAACTCTCGTCGATCTGTTTTGGTCGAAATCAGAGCGTAAGCTTATTTCGGTTTACGGATCGTTA